AACGCTAAAATTGATGTGAAAGGAAAAGGAAAAGCAAAAGCTTATTGATTTATTTACTACCTTTTTATGAACTTTTTTATTTACAAATATTTGAATTTTTTTATCAATATTTCTAAACTTAAATTACATTCTCATTTTCCATTAGAACTAATTTATTAATTTTTTATCTAAACTACCAGAAAATTTTCATTTTACGTCGAAATGTATTAATTCATCTACATAACGATAACGATACTTTCCGAATAAAGAACCACATGACTTATAAAGTGTGCAACAATGAAAGTTATTCACATGTATGTTTCTTCATCAAGTCATAAATTTGTTATGTTTCCGAGAACTCTCACTCTTTTGTCTTTGCAACGCAATTAGGCTTTAAAAGAATTCAACCTTTGATGCAGTTTTTGGTCATGATATGTTGTATTTCCATACAATATATATTATTTCTGATAACTATTTCTGCAAATTGGACACGATAACCACCTTTAATAATTTTGAGATTAATCGATTTTGACTGTAAGAATAAAAAAAATAACAGTCATAACAAAATAAATAAATATAATACAAGTTTGTTAATACACACATATGATATTTAATAGTTAATACATAAAATCCCCTTTACCCTTTCCCATAATTACTTATTCGCTCACCTTTGAAAACGCCCAAATTGAATGATATCGGCACAGGATTTAGACCAACAAGTGAAATTAGTCTAATTGCCCTCTCTCGCTCACACAGTCATGGTGCACAAATTTCCCCAAATCCACATACTTCCAACCTACCTGTATTATGCACTTCACTTACCATATTACATGATCTACAATACACGCGATTACGCATTTTTTAACTGATTAGGTGGAAGAAATTTATAATTTAAAAGAACCCTTGTTTTTCGAATATTTCGACAATGTTACATTCTCCGTTACCCATTTGTATATACACTTTAAAATTTTGAGTTTTATTGTATTTAAGTAGTGAATTGAACAAAAACGAACAACTTTTTAAGCGATGTTATTATATTGCTATATAC